TAGTAAAGCCTCCCATTCAGCCTGTCACCACTGGACCTTCCCCCAAAGCATTTTCCCTACATCTCACTCACCATCTCTAGGTCTCTTCCTGGTTGTTCAGCAACCTATTCCACTGCCCTGGCACAACTGGGCTGTGGACATTATAACCCTATTTATAAATTGTTTAAAATACACAAAATAAGTCTCTGGACTGTTTAGGAATGCATACATACACAATAGAGTCTAAAGGGAAATACAGGAATAACGAAGATCAAATTCAGGTTAGTGGTTATATTCTGGGAGAAAATGTCAGGATGGATTAGACAGGGAGATTCAAGGTATCCTGATCAGGAAATCAATAAAGGTGTTCTTTATTAAAAAAATAATAAACAAATTGTGTATTTGAAATATTAAATGGTAAAATCCATATATTTATCTCCCCATATACATATGAAGAAATGCACCCAAAATCTTAGAAATGTGTATTGTTGAGCAGTAAGATTATGAGGTATTTTTTCTATTCATATTTTCTAAAAATTTCTTTTAGAATGTGTATCATTTTTATTAACAGAAAAAACACTGCAAGAATAGCTTTTGATAAAGAATGTTTTATCACAAACAGACATACAGGGACAGACCACACAATACTGAGATCAGGATGTGCCTGGCTTTCTGAAATAGACTGTTTCCATTTCTCCAACATTTTGTGCTCCTACTGTGGGATGTCAGTCTCAAACATCACTTGGGTGATCACTCAGCAATAGCTAAGCTGAATCTTAAATGCTTCACTTTGCTCCACAGACCATTAGGCTGCTGGACTGTGTATCATCTGTGTATCACAAGGTCTGGAAGGGCAACAGAAACTGGAAGCTTTGAACCCTTGGTCCCATATGCACCCTCCACTGGGGATGCACTTGGCTTTTCACAACTGAGGGATGAAGGTGACTCCTGCTGCAGGGGGAAAAGGCTGTGCCACCATCAAGGCATTGCCTAACTCAGTGTAAAAAAGATTTTTTATATTTAAATTTAAGTATTTGATTCATTTTGAGTTAATATTTGTACCTGTTGTGAGAAGGAGTCCAACTCTGTATTTGTGAACATGGATAACTATTGTCACAGCACCATCTGTGGAAAAGATTCTTTTTTTTTCCTCTAGTGAATTGTCTTGGCAATGTTGTTAAATATCAACAGACCATAAATATAAAGGGTTCCTCTGGACTCTCCCTTTCCATCAATCTATACCAGCAGTGATCCTACCAGCACTGCACTGTCTTCAGTACTTATTGCATTGTCCTGGGGGAACCGGGTCTCTTGGAAGCACTACATATTCCTCTGGCTGCTTTTGTCTTTGACCCAAAGGCCTTGCACTTGACAGAGGGAACTTGTAAGCAGGGCCCAACCTCAGACACCCATTATTCCTGTCCCAAGAATTCTCTTCAGTATTTATTTTAGTATAAGAATGATAGCAATCAATTTATTGAGTTTCTTTTTGTCAGCAATCATTTATTTCACCTTTGCTTTGGGAGAAATTTTGGTGGATATAAAACCCTAACACTTAAAAAAATGTTATTCCATTGACTCCTGGATTTGTAAGTTGTCAGCAGTGAGTTGTCACTGTGTTCTTTCAGTGTACTGTGCCTTTTCTCACTGTCTACTCTCAATATTTCCCTTGAAGCTTTGGTTATAAGTAATTTTACTAGTATGTGCTTAGGTGTGGATTTTGCAGAATTTTCTGAATCTCTGGGTTAATGCCTTTCATCAATTTATTGAAATTTTTTATCATTCTCTTTTAATGTTATCTTTGCCATTTCCATTTCACTTTTTTAGGACTCAAATTTTGCATGTTAACTTTTGAATGTGTATCACAGATTTCTTTTATGTAGCTAAATGCATTTTCTCTTTATTTCAGTTTGGATATTTGCTATTGATTTGTCTTCTACTTCAGTAATTCTAAGCTCTGCTATATCAAATCAGCGATTAAAACTCATTTTCTTAATTCTTGATTTCTTACATATTATATGTCCATTCTATAATATTCTCTTGATTTTTAACATGGACTCAAATTTCCTAATGACATTGTAGGTCATTCTACCTCCTCTGACTATGTTTTCATCTACCATCTTCAACACATTAACCATGGTCATGTTAAAGAACAATTTCAATATCAGGGCCCCTTGGAGATCTGCCTGTATTTCTTTCCCTCTTGCTATCTATCATCATTTTTTGTCTTACCCATGTATGGTTATTATTAGATATTGTATATTAAAAGCCTTCAAATGTTCCAGATAGTATGATAACCCACAAGAGATGGCTTCTCTATTCCTCTCTTTAATAAATAAATGACAAGGCTATTATTTCAGTCCCATTAAGAAATCAAGAAAATTAGGCTGAGCTGTTAGATTCAGTGTACCTTTGCCACCTTCATCCTCAGATGTGGGCTCCCTGTCTTCTGAATTACAGTCATGTCCTCAGCCTTGACGTGCTACCTAAGACCAATTCTGAACTTAAGATTCTCACTCCAAGTTTCTTCAGTCTCCTAACTTGCACAGTTTCAATGTGACGCAAAATTATAAAGAGGAAGCCTGGTATTGTGGTTGAACCAGGGTCTCCTCCAAAGTGGTTCCTTGGAGCCAAAGCAGTACAAAATTATAGGAATATTTGCTCAGATTTCAAGATTGAAAGCCAGGCTCCTGAACCTCCGGCATACCTCTGAACTTAGCACACATCTCTTGGGTCAAATAGGCCCTTGAGAAAACTGTACAATGGAGACCTCTTGATTTCTGATATATTGTCACTCTGGCTCCACTTGATCTTTAGAAGCTTCTGTATGAACCATGGAGAGATCAAAAAGAAAGGATGCAACAAATATTTAAATATCTAATGCTACCTCTTGTTTGTTATAACTAATGATGAAGAAAGGCAATGTGTGAGATGCAATTTTACTTCTGTTTTTCTGCCATATCAAATATGAAAAAGCTATTACCATAAATGATTACAGTGCAGCTGAGCCAAAGTTCCTCAAGATTATTTTGATAAACTGCCACATTAATGGCCCTCAGTTATCCATAACACCCAAGATACACAACCTTGTGTGAGCCCCTCATATACTGATTCTGACCTAGCCAAGGGGCTTCTGTTATGATTTACTATGATGTGTCCCACAAAAGCTCACATGGGAGGCAATGAAAGAAAGTTTAGAGGTGAAATGATTTGGGTTGTGGGAGCCTTACCCTAATCAGTGCATTAATCCACCTGAAAGTATTAACTGGATGATAGCTGTGGGCAGGGAGTGTTGGCTGGAGAAGGTAGGTCACAATGGGTATGACTTTGGGGTATATATTTTGTTCCTGGAGAGCAGGGCTCTCTTCCTCTGCTTTCTGAGTTTCATGATCTGAGCTGCTTTCCTCCTCCACACCTTTCTGCCATGATGTTCTGCCACAGAGTTGGCCATTTATGGACTGAGAACTCTGAAACCATGAATCTCAAAATAAACTTTTCCTCCTCTAATTGTTCTTTTCAGGTATTTTGGTTGCAGTGGAAAAAGAAAAAGAAAATACTTACTGAAATATTGCCCTTTGTCCAAGGTGATACTGGCAAATATGGCAGAAGCAGAAGCTTCATAATCATGTGCATATTAGTGCTTACCTTTTGAAAATATGAAAACACCACTCTCTGATGAAGTCAGAAATGAAAAGCCTAACATAGGAAGACCCTCTATTCCAGCCTGGACAGGTGTAAGGCCAGCGTAGATGATTGTGTTTCCAGTTCAATCCCCAGAGTCACCACATTATCTGAGAAGGACCACCAGAAGAACAACCAAGCAAAGCCAAGTCCCCAAAGCTACAATTTGCCAAAGATCATGACCAGAACACTAACTCTGAGTACACCCCACCTGTTCATCCTCCTGCATTTTCTCCCAACCCCAAGTGAGCACCCATCCAGATGTGGAGCTCATAATTCTCTTGACTTTAAATATGCCTGTCCTGAGAAGGTATGTATTTGATATGTATATACATATCAAACATACACAAACACATGTGTGAATGTACAATTTACACAATTGTGACATGTTGAGACAACAGGACAATTTTACTTTTTATTTTTTCTATGCATTATTAGTACAGTATTATTCTACTTTATAGATTTCTATGGTTGATTTTTCACTTTGCATCAGAGGTTCTCAAGCAGAGGTGTCTTTGCCTCCCCAGAGACATTTGGCAACATCTATATGTTTTCAACTGTCTCCATGTGAGAATGCTGCTGGCCTTTCCCTGAGAAGTTGGAGATGCTGATTAACTCCCCAATACACAGGACAGCCCTCTACAACAAAGTGTTAGCCAGCCCCAAATGCCAATGTCAAAGTTGAGAAACTTGCATTAATCCTTGTTGTTGCAAGCACTTCATCATATACACCACTGCATGACTCTACTGCAATTTATTTTTATTTAATTATTTTGTTCTTATACATGATACCATTGTATATAATCTTCATTATGAAAGTGGGCAAAAGTGTTTCTAGAGTTTATCAGCTTGGGAGTGGAGTTTCTGGGTCACTGGGAGCGTGCACATCTGACAGTAAGAATAATGCCAAACTGCTTCCCAAGTCACAGTGCCAGCTAACTCTGCTTCCAGTCTTTCACAAGTGGCCCCTCATAGTTTATTTTCATACACTTGAATTTTAAGGCTAGTGATCATGGATGACCACACTAAAGTGACACCTAAAAATGATTCTTTCTGTTATCAATGACAGTCATTTGTGGATTGTACACATTGAAAGTATTGCATTCCACATTTCAATTCTTTCTCATCTGAAAACGTATTTGCTCCTCTCTGGTTAGTCTTTTCACTTTCAAATTCATGATCTTTCTCTTTATAGTTAGAAATACCTCTAACGTGGTATTGTCAGTGGTATTGTGGCTTTTACATTTTTATTCTTATATTGTAGGTTGCCAATTAATAGAAATAAAAATGTATTTTTGTATAAATGACCTTTTATCTTGTCTTTGTTAACTTCAACTTACCTGGTCTAGTACTTTTTTCTAGATTCCGTAGACTTTTCTATTTCCATAAGAACATTGTTTCAAATAAACACATATTTACTTCTTCCTTTAAAATCTGTAGATTATTCTTTTTTTTTTTTTTTTGGTCTTAATTTACTGGACTGGCTTGAATATCCAATGAAATCTTGAATGGGAGAAGTGAGAACCTTGTCCTAGATTATAGAAGAAGAAATTAAGGCACAAGATTTAGTATTATATTTCCAATGGATTTTCCTTGCCACCCATTGTCACATTGGGGAAATTTCTTCCCACTTAAATTTACTATGAGGTTGTATTACATATGGTTATTGGAGTTTTAAAATATTTAGTCTACATCTGCTGTGGTTGGAATAAGTGTCCTCTTAAAGGTTCATGGATTATTAAAGGTTTGGTCCCCAGGGTGACACTATTCAGAGATAGTGAAACCCTCAAGAGCCGGGGACTAGTAGGATGTCTTTAGGTCAGTGGAGATGTGCCTTCAAAGATGATAGTGGGACTAGACCCTCCTCTTTCTCTCTTTTGCTCCCTGGCCTTGAGGGGAGTGGTTTTACTTCACCAGGCACCTCCATCATGATGTGCTACCTCACATCAGGCAGGCCCAAATCAATGATGCCAACAGAACATGGACTGGAATTTCAAAGATTGTGATCCAGAAACAGACTTTTTTTAATGTATGAATTTATAGTGATGAAAAGTTTACCATAGCATCTTTTGAGATGATCATATTTTTTGCCCTTTATTCTAAAATGGTGTATTATAATAATTAGTTTTTCAATTTAGTATTTCTGGGGCAAGTGTTCTGTATCCTGATGCATTATCAATTTTCTATGTTGCTTGTTTTGAATTGCTACTATTGTTCATAGATCTTGTTTCGATTTTCATGACATTTTAGTCATACTTTTTCTTGTTTTATAATCTTTGTGGACTCATGACACTTCTGGTCTCATAAAATAATTTGCAAAATGTTCCCTCCTCCTTAATTTTCTGAAAGCATTTATGAAATTTTATATATATATATATATATATATATATATATATATATATATATATATATATA